TTTTATATTTTATAGTACAGTATTTTTCAATAGCTGGCCCTCCACATTCATGGGTTTTACATACACAGATTCAACCAACCACAGATCGAAAACTATTTTCAATCCACAGATGGAAATGTGGATGTGAATGCAGAGGACTATGCTGACTGCGGGCATTGTTCTACACTATTTTCTACTGGAGACTTGAGCATTGCAAATTCTGGTATACTCAGGAATCCTGAAACCAATCCCCCACGAATACCAAGGGCCAACTGTAGTTAAGTTTTGGGGGAATCAACAGTTATACAGGATTTCCTATAAATTTAAAACTCCTCTAAAAAAAAAAAGCTTATTTAAAAAAATACAGACAGTATATAGTTTACTAGATTCTGTATAAGAAAGAAAGAATAAGACTATATACTTATCTGCTTGTATTTTCATACAGAAATACTAGAATCACTAGAAACTAGTAACAGTGGTTACGTTATTTGGGGGAGAGGGAATAAGAACAAGAAAAGGAGCAAAATTTCTCAATGTAAATTATTTTTTAAAAAACTTGTTAAAGATTGTCTTTTCAAAAAAAATTATGTGATTTTTAAAAAGCAACTCCACAAGAATTATCTCCTTCTCTAATGAAACTCAAAGGAAGTTTCTAGCACAGTATTTACATACTAACAGATATTATAAGTTTAACAACTATTAAATTTCTTTAAACACAAACTTTTAATCTCTATGGTATATGCTTTCCATAATTACAAACCAAAATATTTTAATTTTTAATAATTATAAATGGAAAAATGGTTTTTATAAAACTTGCTCTTTTACAGATTTCTCTGAATAAATCTATTAGACACAGTAATTTACAAGTAAGCTCAGTAATGACCACAAAATTGAGTGAAAAGAATCAAATCCCTTAATGTTCTCCAGTTTCATTTTTTCCTATAATAATAATCAGTGCTGTTTGCTAATTAAAACTTCTGACAGTGAAAAAACAATTAAGAGCATAAGGTATTAATAGCCAATTTTAAAGACATGCATTCAGACTGTCAGTCTGTTCACTATTTTCAAGACCCTATCGCAGAGACTTTTGTTCTACAAATTTTAAAAATTTGATTAAATTATCTTTCCCCCTCTATGTTTTAAATTCCATGCATCCACTGGAATGTTAAAACAAATGGTTCTTTAAAATTTTTAGTACAGCAAAGGTATACCCATTAAGAATCTTGTCAACTTGAGTTCAAGTTAAAAAGAAAATAAACTCATATATATTTACTTACCTTGAAAGGTTTGTCTCCACTGTGTGTCAGCATATGCCTCTGTAACCAACTCTGACTGGTTGATGGAGTGTTATATACTTTACAACCTTTCCATAAGCAAACAAATACCTGTTAAAAGAAGAGCCATAATAATTTCCATCACTTATTTCAATAAAGTTTTATTCCTTTTAAGATCAAATGAACATGTTGCAAGTGTAAGTCTTCAATTGACAGAGTCATTTAATGTATCAATCAAATGCTTAATGTAGTTCGAACCTTCTGGACTTCCAATGAGAGGCACAGTATTAACCCTACTCCCTTAAGGCTGCTGTCCATTCCCTCAATAAGGAACAGATACAACAATTCCAAAGAGCCATTCAGAAGTAAACACACAAAACATTAATAATATATCGCTAGGAACTAGGACTACAGACCATTATTTACATTTTTGTATTTACTGTATGAGGGAACAAGCATGTATTAATAAATTATCAGAAAAATATAAAGGTATAAAGAAACAATGAAAATAAATCAAAGTAGTCAAATGTTACTTAGTGGATACTGATAGTTTCATCTTCAAAGAATGAAGAATACAATCAAATTATCAAATTATAATTTTTCTGCTCTTGAATTCCTACTCTCACATGCATGTTACTTAATCTTACACTGTTCTATTCATTAAAAATGACTTCCAAAATTATCATGATTAGAAAGCAAAATCTAACATAAAATGTTTAATATAGTTGCAAAAGCAATGAGCATGAGCTACTCAGTCATAACCTACATTCTTGGGTTCAGGGAACTGAGTATGACTGGGTTTCGAAAAGCATAAATCTAACACCTAACAACCTAATCTTTATCATCTTCCTACTAATGTGACATCAATTTTCTAATTATGTTTCTATCAAACTGAACACTGAAATTGCTCCCTATCAGTAAAAGAAATATGAATCTACTGTAATCGTCAACTTCAAAATACCATTTCTAGGTTTTGTTCTTTTCTAAGGTAAGAACAATCATAAATAGAGCCACACTTTGAAGACTATAATGTACTACATACATGAAGAACAAAACAAAGATGCACAAAGCACTGAAGATTAACAATCACTGAAGGTTAAAATTTTTTAGAGTCTAGAAAAATCAACAGTCTAAAATAACTGAGATCAACCTTTACTCAAAACCAAACCATTTTATATCAGATAGGCCTAACCAGGCAACACTGCTATTGCTATCTGACGTGACTTGTTTAGAGAAAGTTATAGCATATCCTAATTCTCCCACAGATTTGTTCAATTTTTTTAATTAAGCAGATACTAAATTATAACATTTCTTCCTTCATGCTTAAAATTTCTGACCCTAGTACACATTTATAATTCCTGAAATTCCCAGAATTAAAAGCTACTTTTCAAATGAATCCAAAAAAAGAAAAAAATTGTAATGCTACACCTATATGTTGTGAAAATTAATTCAGTAAGGTGTGATCATCACATAGATAATCGGTGCTATTTATCAATTTCCTAACTCATGACTACTAGACAGACTCTCAGAATCTTAAATTTTTAATCGAAATAATACACAGGAATCAGAGCTTAGTCTAAAATTCTCACAAGCCGTGCCCCATAAACAGAAATGCCTTAAAGCTAGTATTTGGGAACAAAATTAACATAATTTATGTAACAAATTTTACAATGAAAAATTCTGTTGATCTAACTCTTTAAGTGACTCCTGTAAGTGAATTACTCTCAAAAAAAAGGAAAAAATCAGATAAATACTCAAATGCTGCCCCTACCTAACATTACCTAACCGCCACATTTGAGAAACAACAAATCTCTTGGCTCCTTTTTTATATGAATAAACAGAAATATGGAGGCAATGTCAGACCCTGTAATTCTATCAGATAATAGCCTTAATTGTGAGTAGGTACAGTCTAGACTATAGAAGGAATAACGTCTAGTAACACTACTAGGGCAAGGCCCCTTCAGGTTCAAACAAAAATCAACCCAGTAAATTTTACAGGAAATGAAATAAGTGTAAAGAGACCAAAGCTAACTATGTTTACCCATATTTGGGTGAAATATTTGTGATATATTTGAAAAATAATTGGGGGAGAGAGAGAAGCAGCACTAAACTTGCACAAGAACAGTCTTGATACACAAAACAAGCACTAAAAGTCCACATCAAGGATCCACAAAAACCAGAATTTTTTAAAAGCTAAATTTCCTTTTCTAATTTTTATTAGGAAAACTTTTGATAAAACAGGTAGACGAAAATCTGGCAAAAGGGTCTTTCTTCAAACCAGTCTTTTTAGATGCACAGTATGCAAAAAACATTTTATACCCTATCTTTAGAAACTTTCACATTATAAAAATTAACTCTGAAAAACAAACACCATAGGAATTAAACCCAAATATGAAAGAAATTATTCAAAAATAAAATCTCACATGGTTCCTCTATACTATCTTTAAATGAATTTAAGATTTAACTATATTAATTAGAATACTGAGGCAGAGGTTCACATTCCAATCTTGTGATAAGACAGATTTATGTTAATTAGGTTGTATTAGATGTAACAGAAATTGAAAAGTAAATTACCTGAATTCTATCCACTCCACAGCTATATCATCTTAGAAAAATCACCTATCAAAATCTCTTTCTTTTTCATCAAATAGACAATATGGGCACATATCTGATAACTCTAAAACACGATGAAAATCATCTCTCAGAAAGACTAGTTAACAGAAAAATTGAATTTATATTAGACACTGAAGGTTGTTTCTCAAAATAACTGCCACCAGATTTTTCTGTTACTGTCAAAAGAAAACGATACCACATAACCATTAAAAAAATATTTTTGGATCATCAAAAAATCTTCAAATTTACAATAACCTAACTTATAAGATGTACAGGTCTACAATTTCAATGTTACAGGGAGGTTTGGGGTTTCTGTTGAGAATTCCTCTATAAAACCTTATTCATCACTGTCAGAATAGGTCAGATTAACCTTCAGGGATCTCTTCCAAAATGCCCCAAATGAAGAAGGCTGGTACTAATTTGAGAAACAAAGGTAGTTTTAGTTTCCTTCGCTCTGGTCAATTTTCTTGAATAAATGTACCAGTGTATTTATCTGAATACTTGCACAGGTTACACCTACAACAATTTGTGTGACAGTACAGATTAAGATAAATACACTTATATTTATCTGGTCACTAATATCTCACTCGGACTGTGCAAATGAATCCATCAACATTTCTGTAATTATAAAATCTATCTCTAAAGAATACAATTCAACCTGACAGAGTCTATGTATGCATAAAGGAAATTCAGCAGTTATTACTAAAACAAATTAAAATCAGCCAAATATATTCTAAATACAGAGATGACTAAAGCAGTATAATTTATATGCCTAGGGTGGGTGTGTGTAGGGGGGGTGGCTAGTTTTACTAAAGAATTAAATTCTTTTTGCAGTAAAATGACATGAAAAGATTTCATATTTACACAGAGATACACCATCTAAAGGCAAAAAGGGGATGATTTCATGGTTCCTTTAAGCTTTAATATTTCTCGGCGGGGCGGAAGGAGTTCATTCGTTTACGAAATGTAAATATACAAAAGAGAAGCAAAATATTTTTTACATCTAATAATTCTGTCTCAGATCAGTCTGCTCTTTCAAGATCTAAAATGAGTCAAAAATTTGTATCCTATTCCTATTATTTTTAGCTAATATATTAACATTTTCAATTTCTTCTGTTAAAAGATATGTAATACAACAAAACAGAATATAAAAACATTTAGTAAAACAAATTACAAGAATAAAATGTTTTTCATTTATTGCAAAAGATATGCCCAATTTCATGTTGTGTTCAGGAGATACCATATTGGCAATGAAAACGCAAAGTGACTGCCTCCTAAAACTGATTTCACTTCCTAGCAGTAATCTGATTAAACCCCAAGTCTACAAATGTCATTTTACATAACATAAAAGTACCTGGCCGCATTCAAGTCTTTGAACAATATATCCTATGAACCCCGCCAAAATCTCCCTCTGGCCCTTTCCTCTCGAACACACCAAAGAACAAATACAAAAGTAAACAATAAAATGACGTGTGTAAAATAACTCCTGCATCAAGAAACATGAACATATTTCTGACAACTGTTTTTAAAGAAACAGTTAAAACAGAAAGAACAAAAGATTAATGGATCTTATTGATCCACTGAAATCCTACAAGATGAAGTTCCTTACCAAAACTTATATCTATATTAAGAGGACACTGGGTTTGAAATTTGATTAGTAAAGTAGATCAGTCTAGTTTTTGAAAACCAGTCATAGACAAAAAAATGAACCTTATTATACTTTACAAAAAATATTGATTCTTTTTTGGCCTGTTTCTTTTTTTAAAACAGGAGAAAGCCTCATCATTTTTTAAAATGGTACATTCATAATTTGTTATATACAATGGTTAATATAACTTTTAATATAAAAAGTATCTACCTACTTTGACATATGAAAAGGTTAAGAAAACCTAAACTCCACCTGACTTCAGCCTACAAATATAAAGTCCCCATGAGATGGCAACATAAGTAGCTTAAAGGGAGAAAAACAAGTTTCTAAGTTGTTATATGGTTTTGGTTTTTCCAGGGTGAAGACTAGAGTGGGATGAGAAAAAGAACAAGAATTAATATAGTATTTAGATCTTGCTAACTTACTGCTTCAGTAAAACTGTCATCTTTCAATAATAAAGTCCTCTAGAGTTAGCAACTTTTCCCTCATTTGTTTCTGTTCCATTATGACAGTTTTACACTTGGGGTAGAAAAAAGAAATACTTAAAAAAAAATTATTATGACATCATGAAAATCAGGTGTTTTCCACTAATGTGAGATACCTAAATAGTTAAATTTATACAGACAAAGCAGAACAGCAGCTACCAGGCATTGGGGGAAGGGAGGAAAAGGGAGATATTGTTTACTGGGTACAGATTTCAGTTTTGTATAATGAAGAAGTTCTGGAGATGGATAGTGGTGATGGTTGCACAACAACATAAATGCAACTAATGCCACTGAACCGTACACTTTAAAACAGTTAAAATGTTTTTCTTAAAGTTCCTTTCAAAGAGGCTATTAAAAAAAAAAAAAATCAGATGTTCTAACCAACTACTGTATTTTAAAGCACAAAACCAGATCAAAATTTCCTATCTTCTACAGTAGTATTAGGTTTTCAAATTCTCATTCACACTTTCATTCTGAAAGCTTTGTCTATCTACCAGTGACTGGTATGTAAAAATAACTGGAATGTGTTATCTACATTTCTCTAATCCTTTACATTTGTACTTTAGCAACTAATGTCCTTCAAAGATGAGGACTCCTTTCTGCGGTCGAAATAGCATTTATCTTAAAATCAGCCAGAGAGTCTCATTATTTGTAATAAAGTAACTTTATGAATAAGGGTTCAAGAAATGACATGGGGGTTTTCATTTCAACAAGTTTATACTAATCGTAGAAATACTGAAACTTCATGCATACCTCTGTAATATCAATAAGGTACATGTAATTGCAGTGATTACATGATACATTCAGTCCATTTTTTTCTACAAACCTGTAAAGGCCTGAAAACATTCATTCTCACGAGGCTGTGTGCCAACTAAACTTGTAGGATCCAAGACTTAGATATGTGAAATTCTCTCACACCTACTAAGAGAAGCCCAGTGATCTTCTACATAGCTCATGATCCTATATAGTTGCTAAGGCAAGTGACTAAATAGCATCACACCATGACTCAAGAGACTATCTTAGTGATCACACACACACACACCACCCCACCACCCCCAAGTGACATCAAGCACTGGCTCACAAAAAGCAACTCTGTAATGACCAGGAAACCAACTTGGTTAAGAGAGTTCACACTAAAAATCTGATATACGTGAGGATGGGAAAAAAGACTGGCACCAAAGCTGTCTTACTGCTGACTGAGCTGGGTTAAGCAGTGAAAATAACATATGACAGACACAGTTCATTAATAAAACATCTGAGGTCCACCTAGACACCATATATATTAAATCTAATAATAAGACAAATGTTTACTTTTCAAACTTCGGTAATCAAAAGACTGCTGACACATTGTAACATATTGTGACAACAGCAAATAACAATAGCAAATGTTTCTTAAAAGAAATTTCAAATGCAGTACTGCAGGTTAAAATGTTGGGGTTGCTTATATGGTTGCATGTTTAAAAAAAAAATACTCAGTATAATTTAATTAACAGTACCACCTTTAGAATCAGTTGCCTACTCACTTAAACCTTGATGATTTTAACCATTTTAGTGTCTGTATCTCAGCAGTGATGGCAGGGTGATGGGAAATGTATGACCTAATAAAGTATCTGTACTTAAAATGTGACAATTTCTGGAACACATACTAAATGCAGTAACTATTCAAGACAAACTTAAATAAAGTTGAAAAAATATATAAATATTATAAATATTATGGCCCATTACATTCTGACTCATCTAATTTGCCTAGCTCTTTATTCACTATCCAATAAAAATTATGTGAACCGACACAATTAAATGTATTCCTGAAAGGGTATATGTCAATACTGACTAATCAGAACCTTTTATCTAAGCCAATTCTGACAAAACCTGGGAAAGATGATCAATTCTCACTCACGAAAGAGTGCAGTTGTCATTTAATAGGATTGTATATACTAATCCTGATACCAATAGTTTTTATTTAGTTAATTTCAGCATCAGGGAAATTTAGAACCACTCTAAAAACAAAAATCCTAAACAGTGCCAACTCCTGAATGTCCTCAACTCAAAACTTCAGAACCTTGGAACACATTGTATTCGCTTAGACTATTCTATTTTAGAAAGTCTAATTTCTTCAAAGTAATATACCTAAGAGCAAATTAAAATCCAACACATCACATGTTCCACTTAATTTGATTCTATCAAGTATGTGGGAAGTAAATAAAAAGAAAACATTTGAAAAAAGAAAACCTGTGTAAAAACAATCCCAAATTACTTTAAGAAAAAAAATAATAAGCCTAACTAGCAATTATAAATTAATAAAGCTAATGAAAACAGGGAGTAAAAAAAGAAATGACAAAACCAACCCCTCCTCGCTGACCATCTACATGTATGGAACGGATGTGATCTGCCAGATCTGGACTAGAGTTGAAGCAAGCCTGGCACTGGTCCCAACAACAATTATAGGCAATATTTTTGCTTGAAGAAGTAGTGCTTCCTTGTCCATTCATCATTGCTGGAGTTGAACGCCCACTGGAAATTGTGCTGTCTACATCCATTATAGTACTGCTTATGCTACAAAAGAAGAAAAAAGGCTGTGTTATTCCTAGAAATTCACTAACATGAATATGATCTTATAAATATTTAATTAAGAATAGCACTTGACATTCTGCTCCATACAAAGCATACTACCCATATTTTCCATTAGAAAACAACACTGCTTTGAAATTATTTAGTTGGCAATAAAGTGCAAATCAGGGCAAAAAAAAATACTAGTACCTCAAAACCAGATATGAGATAATTTAAGCAACTTCTGGCAGACATGAACTCCAGTACTATACACTAGAGAAAACAAACCAAACACAGACACACATACAAAAACATACAGCTCATCACATTTCATCCCTTCCATAGTTCTAAAAAGCATGAAAAATAGTGTCTAGCTATAAACAATTCACAATCAAAAGATCATCTTCACGGTTTTGCAAATCACTTGATCTGAAATCTTTTCTTCTATTCACTAATCTGAGAATCTAACTGCCATCACATCCTACTTCTTTCCATCTCAAACAAGTTGGGAAATTTCACTGTATTTTCCCTTCTAAATTAAGAAAAAGAAAGAAAAAAAAGCAGAAGAGAGAAAACTAGGTTCAATCAAAAATTTCTGATTTACCAAAGCCCAAATAAAATATCTTTTCCGGACCCTCAACTTTTTTTTAAAACTAATCTTTATCCACCAAAAGACTGAAAATGCCAATAAATCCTTTACTTTTTATTTACTAAAGTATTACTTATTAATCATTTATTTACCCCCCCAAAAATGAGTAATAGTAACTGAGTATTTTGAATGCTCAAAATTTCACATCTTAATAAAATGTAACTCACTTTGCCTTCATTAAAAAAGCAATTCTTTTTTTTTTTTTTTCAGTATCTTCCCAACAGAGAAGCTACATGGAACTAGCTTCAACCACAGAAGGGTCAACGGTAAGAATGTTTTCTGACTAAATCCATCAAAAGCTAGCAATTTATATACCAGTAAATTATAAAAATTATATTAAGGGGTATGCTGTCCCACCTCAAGTTTTTATTACAGAAAATTTCCAAGATACAGAAAAGTGCATACAAATCTGAACTCAACAATTAACATTGTGTTCTACTGGCTGTGTGTAATTTGATTTTCTCAAACAACTGCAAGTTGCAAACATGATATTTCAACCACATTTCAGCACCACCTTCTAAAAAATAAGAACATTCCCTTATACCACAACCTTATTTGCTCAAACCTAACAATTAAAACTAAATTTTAACCCTCAAGTAAGCTTAAATAATTTGTCTAACTTCAAATGTACCCATTTCAAAAAGCTAGCAAAAATGTTCTTATAGGATGCTTCAGATAAGAAAAACATCTGGTTTTCCTGTAAAGAATATTCACATATTTAAGTTTATCTGGCTATCTACCAGTCAATATATAGATTCTAAATTCAACTCTAAAACTTGATTTTTAAAACTGTGTAATCTCTATAAAACTCTTAAATATGAATCAGCTCTTGAATATCTGAATATTTGTTCATAAATTGTTTTTGCAAGAATAAACTGTAGGTATGGTAGCTTTTTCTATACTGAAACACAAATTTTTATTTAAGCCCTAGAATTTCAAGTTTCAAGAGGCTCTTAACTGTGAAATGGTTACTATTTTCCTTATCATGCTTCATATATGAAAACATTTTAACTGTAAAATTCATACTTTCATAAGTCATACTAAGTCCAAAAGCAAATAAAATATTAACAGTTTTAAACACCAATCATACTCAATATCAACAATCTCAGGAAAAGAGATAAATCTCAATGACCTATTGTGGCACAATCTCCAAGGTACAGTTTTTAAAAAGTACAGAGTAGCAAAGTTCCAATTTGCATACCTAAATGAAGGAGGAAAATAGATTTAAAGGCAAAGGCTTTTTTGAAGGATACACGAAACACTGTCAGTGTTGGGGGTGGGAAAGTGGAACAGAGGAGAAGCTTTCACTGTACATATCCTTTAAAAATTTTTAACCACAAAACTACTGCTTTTATTTAAAAGTCCAAAATTAGTTGAAAATGAAACCAATTTTCTTTAAACTGGAAAAAGTAAATCAAGGTCAAGAGACTCATGTACTTGTGATAAATCCAACTAGCAATACAGTCTATCTACATGGTGCTTAACATGCTTCTGCTTATTAACTTTACCACTGAAGGGGAACCGTACAAGTCCAAATATCTGTGAACTCTAAGGCACTGTTTAATCAGTCTATGTGCTATCATTCACTAAAGAACAGTACTCTGTAGATACAGATCCTCATAAAAGGACATGATGCAGGTGTTAAGAGCATGAACGCTGTCTACCACTGGCAACAAAACTGCAAATGAAATGGCAGAGGAGGTGAAGGGCAGGTCCCGTGCCCTGAAAGACTTGAAAGACACTTCACACATGTGCTGCCATCCCCACAGAGCCTCCCATAGCCAGGCAAGGCATACTGGAGTCCTGCTTCTCAGTCCTTAAGACTCCTCAACTTCTAAAAAATGTTCAATCTTAAGCCTGCAGGCTCTCTCTTGATCCCAGATCCATCCGCTCTGAAGAGTGATGAAGGCAACAGTCTTGATGCAGGGGAGCACAGGAGACAAGTTACAGGTGATTTCTTATTTTGACAGAACCCTGAGCTACATACAGAAAGCAGTGTCCTTTCTATAACAGTAAGATAACAAGATGATCAGAACTAGGTGACATTCCATCTGATCTTATAATAGTTCTAGGATCATGTATATGTTAAAATTTTTCAATCAGTAGTTCTTTCCAATGAACACTTACAGATTCCGTAAAATGTGAACAAAAACAGTCTGGTATTTTGAAGAAAATCTCAGCCAGAAAAAGCACACACAGTATTCAGATAGTTTAAATAATCTAAAGCAGTGCTTCTCAAACTAATTTGTCTATTAATCACCTGGGATCTTATTCAGCAGGTTTGGGGTAAGAGCTGAGATATTGTATTTTTAACAGGCATCTACTTGTTGATGCTGCTGCTACAGACAGCAAATGCTAAAAATCTCTTTCACCATTATTATCCACCTGACTAACCAAATTATCTAAGTGCTTCATATTATAGAATGATAAACTAAAGCATTCACATACAGCCATACAAATATACCATGACAACAGAAAGTTTCAAAAAAAAAAAAAGGTTAGAAATGTTCTAATGTATATTTAGAAAAGGACATAAGATATTTTCAACATAAAAACATTTCCTTTTCCTCTTTTCCATGGACCTTAAAAAACTATCTGGCACAACAGAGCTTTCTACTCTATCGTCCACGGTAACTAACTACAAAGATTTTATGAAAATGGTTTCCTTTGGAAAACCAACTAAGAGCCAACTCATTCATACATACAAGAACAGCCCCTAGCAAAACATGTGCACAATGGACTTGACCATGGCTAACAGGGATGCCAAAACTGAAAAGATCTGCTTGCTAAACAACAACATACAGGAGCAGAGGAAGCAATACATGGATGCTATGCTGTCACAATACAAAAGGACAAGACCATGGTCTCAATGTAACAAAATATGAAAAGTTTGTTGATATGATTTCAGATTCCATATCAGAAATCATCTTTTAAAACTATCACTTGTCAAGTTTTGGCAAATAGCTACAAAATTATCTAAAATAGCTATTAAAATATTCCTTCTCTTCCCACTATCTGTATAAAGTCAGATGTTCTCCACGTTTTAACCAAACCAGTTTATTCCAACAAACCGAAGGCAGAAGCACATGAGAAACCATTAAGCCAGACATTAAAGACATTAAATATAAAACGTCACTTCTATTTCTTTAACTGGAAAAGTTATTTTGCATTGAAAAAAGTTTGTTATAAATAACTGGTTTATTTTTAATGTTTTAAAGTTATTGGTTTTAATTTCTAATCCTGTAATAGTGATAAATATAACCACATAAACAAAAGCTCTTTGGATTCTTCAATAACTTTTAACAGCTTTTTAAAAATGATTAATACAATATTTACAATAACATAGTTATCACTGCCAGACTTAATATGAGGTTGTTAAATGTTCAATCCAATTTCCTTCGCAGATAAGCTTTTCTTTCCCATCACTGTCAGTTTTAAAAACATGATACAGAAAAGGAGGCCAAATCTAATCACAGCTCCTAAGAGTGAGGTCTTGGGAGCGGGTCTGAATTTGGGATAGACATTAGCTGATCTTGTGTAAATCCAACGAGTCAAGGCAAGATCTTTGATAAGCCTTCAGTGGTTGGGGTCGTTGTACTGAAGCAGGTACTTTCTTTTAAGCCACGATCTTATGGCCAACAGCTCCCCTTGCAGCTTCTGAGTTTCCGCAGATATGCCATATTCAGCTGGGTCACGGGTAGGGCGCAAAGTGACCAGACACAACTGCTCATCCTTGAAGAAGGACATCTTGGGAGCCCCTTAACAGCTTTACTGATACATAATTCAATTTACTGATGATATATGCGATAAATATTCTTCAATATTTAAGAAAGCAAAGCTGTCCTTAAGAGCAAAATGGTTGAGAACTACTGATCTAGACTATATCTGAAACAATGTTTAAATGTCTCTGAAACAGAGTGGAAAAGAATATGCTTCTACCTGTAATAATTTTTTTTTTATTGAAGTTAACTGCTATATTTCAAATTCATTCTGAGGTTAAGTGGATAGGTGAGGAAATTCGTTTGTGTTGTGGATTTTCCTTGGCAACTTTGTGTCCTTTTCTTCTCCCTGCTCTGAAATGATTTCTAGGCTACTGAAATGTCTAACTTTTAAAAGGAGAGTTGAGAACAGGTACCTGAAGAGTATAATTTACTCGTCACTCCAAAAAAATTAAAATATAAGAATTTCCAATTTCCTATAAATATGGCATTGATTAGCAGAGATGCAGCTCCGCACTTGTGTTTTCCAACTCTAATTTAGGCCTCCACATGTCCATTCATATAAAATTAGGTCTGCAAATCACACATCTCACGCCTTACCCAATTAAAGGCCTTCCAAGAAGCCTCTGTTACTTGCT